AGTCCACCTCACAATGAAGACATGTTCTTCTAAGTTCGTCTGCACAAGCGCCCTGCCTTGAGCACATAGTGGTTAAAGAAACAGGAACGCTCTAGCTTATGTCTCATTCTAACTTGCTCATGATTCTGAGTTTGAATGGAGGTGTGTCAATAGGTCCCTGTGCTCTGAAGACAGGCCTGCTTAGATTCTCTTAGGCCTGGCTTGGTGATCCCTTTCTCCTCCATTACTAGGACCAGATTAGGAGGGGAGAGGCTAGGGGTTTAAATTTCAGAACAGTTTGGAGTGACTGGAATACTGCAAGACCTCTTACAGCCAGCCAAAAAGGGCTCTCTCCAAACCCAAACTGTGACAGGAACGTATGCTTTATTCTGTATACAGTTTATCAAGTTTGTTTAATCTGTGTATATTTAAAAGTTTTAGTGTTAATGCCTATAACTGCATATTGTGCTGATTGCTGTATTTTCATTCTTCTCTTTGGAAGTTAAGAATCCATCAATTCATATTTTTTCTTTTGGCTGAGGAAAATTAGCCCTGAGCTAACCTCTGCTGCCAATCCTCCTCTTTTTTTGCTTGAGGAAGATTAGCCCTGAGCTAACCTCTGTGCCAGTCTTCCTTCACTTTATATGTGGGTTGCCACCACAGCATGGCTGATGAGTGGTTTAGTTCTGTGCCCAGGATCCGAACCCGCAAACCCAGGCTGCTGAAGCGGAGGGCGCCGAACTTAACCACTACACCACAGGACTGACCCCTGTTCATGATATTTTTCAGTTTTTGGCTTAGTCTTTTAATAGTTTCCCGAAATTCCTTTTGTGCTTTCATTCCTGACTTAATCCTTCCAACTCTCAGGTTAAGAAGGATGCTATTTGAGCTCTATTTTTAAAATTTCTGTATTGACAAGTTGTTTACATTTTCCTTTTGAATGCTCCATTGATGAGGCTGAAAACTGAACTCCCGGCAGTGAATATTGAAGTAGGGGATAGGTGCATTGTACTGCTGTTCTCCAAATGCTGGATAAGAGAGAAGGGGGTGTCATTTTATTTTGTTCTGCCTGCCGGGAAGAAGGTTCAAAAAACAGGACTCCTCACCGGGAATTCCGAAGCTCAGAGAACGTGGCTCTGCAGATGCAGAAGCTTCAGCTTTGGAGATGGGGGTATAGCAGGCTACAAGGGGGCTTGGAAGAAAACTTAATAATTTTCAGTCTCAGAAGCCTAACTCACATGGACAATCTCTCCTAGAGTAAGGCCCTTTCCAGGCGGATATGTTGGTGCTATCGAGCTGGTATTCCAAGTATGTCCATCTGCATTTAAACGAATTGCTCCAAGACAATCTGATTACGCGGTAGTTACTCTGGTGAGAATAGCGCCTCAGCGGAATGGAAACTTCATTTTGAGTCTAATATTAGACCTTGCTTTGGAAAATTCCTTTTAAATGATCACAAGCTGGGAATAGCAAAAGAATTTAACTTTCGACAGACAGCATTCACCAAGAATTTTTAACTGCTTATGTTTGGGTCCTTGGGAAAGCAGATGTGAGAAACCGACTGGACGGAATTGACTCCACTAGAATTGACTTGACCTGATGTGGTGTTTATATCTATTGCTGATAAGTTTCCCTCCTAGTCTCATTTACTCAAAATATTTTCGTTCTTTGAGGGTGAGCACGCTAAGGATGAAAATTGTTAGGATGCCTAATTGTCTAACAATCTAAACTTCTAGGCTTCCAGACATTGTTGCCTATAAAGGGGCCTGAGGCAGAGCGGAAAGGGGCTGACAAACCCACAGAACCAAAGCCAGTTTCTGAGTAAGTGCTGGGAACCTGATCAGACCTGGCCTGCAGAATATTTTTAGTTTGTCTGGCTGGTTGTGTCTAGTGAACTTGCCCAATTTGTTAGGTTTTAAGTAAACTTTATTTAAAGGCCCACCCTCCCCCCGCCCAAAAAAACCCACCCTGTCATTTAAAAAATAATATACATATTCACTGATTATGAGATTTTCAGATCATGTCTGCTTGGCTTAAGGATATGTTTCAGCTGCCTCACATGCCTTGGATTGGGAAAGCCAATATTGGTGTTTGAAAGATGCATTTAATATTTTAAAAGATCTTTCTGAAATTGAGATGCATCCTTTAATCAAGGTGTACGTTTAATGTAGTGTTTTCTTTTTTGTCTCTATGCTGGTGATAAGTTGATGGTGCCTTAGAATTGAGAAAGAATATTAATTAATAAGCGTTACCATTCATTGATCACCCAGTGGATCATAGGCACTGTCTTTGCTGGTGACCAACATTATCTCTCACAGTCATAACAATTCTATGTGGCAGCATTTATTCTGAGCCTGGTCTAGAGATGAGGATACTGAGGCTTAGAAAAGCTATGACCATACAGCTGGTAATGGCTAATAAGTGGCAATGCTGGAGTTCAAATCCAGGACTGTTCGACTTCAGAGCATGTGTTCTTCCCTGTGGGTTGTATCTTTTGATATTTATTGTATTTAAAATGAAGCCTGAGAAGTTTAAAACTTTACTTACTAACTAATTTTTTAAAGACAATAATAAATCCATTATAGCTTAACATAAATAGCATTTTTATTAAGAAAACTATTTTCCAAAACAAAAATAGTAAGAAGAGTGTCATTGTTTACCTTTTTGCATGTCTCTTTTTTGTTTTTTTGCTGAGGAAGATTCACCCTGAGCTAACATCTGCTGCCAATCTTCCTCTTTTTATGTGTGAGCCACCACCACAGCATGGCCACTGAAAGATGAGTGGTGTAGGTCCATGTCCAGGAACTGGGGCTGGGCCACCAAAGCAGACTGCGCTGAACTTAACCACTAGGCCACCAGGGCTCACCCTGCATATCTCTTTTATTATCTGGCTAAATGGAAGGCAGCTGGGTCCTCTTACCTTCTTCTGCATTCAATCTGTGCAGTATACTGTTTTAGTTGAAGTATGTGAAGGAAATCTGGCCATACCCTGATATGTATTTGGAAAAGGGAAGGGTGTTTTAATAGCCTTTTTGGACAGTTGTGGATATTCTCCTTTGAGACTATACCAAAAGTAGACAAGTGGTAGTTTCTTAAAGGTTAGTTGCAACGTAGAATCTGAAACTATATCAGTGGACTTTTGATGCACTGTTACATTAAAATTGTTTGGTCTGAAATCTTCCTTACAGAATAATTCTGAATAATATATGTAGATACTCCCCCACTCCAGGAAGTAGGGCTTAATTCTTACCCTGCACCCCTCCCTGGGGTTGGGCTGGACGTAGTGACTTGCTTCCAAAGAACAGAATTAGAGAAAGGGGAAAGTTAGAAACTTTACAGTGGAGAAGCTTGGGGACCACCACCTTCACCAAGTGGGAGGGTGAACATCACCAGTGACGTCATGTAAGCCCTGATATGATGTAACTAGAAAACCCATAACCCCAGTGTAATCATGAGAAAAACATCAGACAAATCCTAATCGGGGGGCATTCTGTAGGATACCTGACTAGTACTCCTTGATTGTCAAGGTCATGAAAACAAGGAAAGACAGAGAAACTGTCACAGACCAGAGGAGACTGGGGAGTGTGGTACTCTGGATCGGATACTTGAACAGACAGGGGACAGTAATGGGAACACTGGTGAAACCCAAACATGGTCTGGAATTTACTGAGTAGTACTGTGTCAACGTCAATTTCTTAGTTTTGATAAGTATATCATGGTAGTGTAAAATGTTAACAATGGGGGAAACTGAGTGAAGAGTATAGAGGAACTCTCCATACTGTCTCTGCAACTTTTCTGGAAATCTAAAATTACTGCAAAATAAAAGGTTTACTTTAAAAAATCCCTTGTTATGTCTTGCACTCTGAATAGACAGCTGACGTGTGCATGATTTGCTAACATCATCATTAGGGAAAATATTGGTTCCCTAAGTTATGCAGATCTTTGAAATGTTAACACATTTCATTATTCAATATTTTAAAAAATCATATTTGTTAATATCACTACCTATCACATCAGAAAAGTCTTTATTGAGAAGCTCTCAAGCTCACAGTGATAGATGCAAGTTTCCCACAATTCTGATTTTCCCTTAAATGCTCAAATTTTATCATTGGCAGCAAATGCTGCTGTTGTTTTCCTTAATGTAACAGGCTCACTTTGTTCATTTTCAAGAAAATATCTGCCCAATATGCAAGTCTGAATAACCGTAGTTTGTTTGGAAGCCAATCTTTCAAGTAAAAATGATGTCAGTGAAAACAGTGACTGGTGCAACTTGCAACTCAAATGACTGCCAAGTGCTTTTCCTCAGGACAACTATCCGACTTCAGAAGGCAACAGGAGTGTTTCACGCTACTTCCCGTTTTGTCACATAGACTATTAGAAGCCGGGGATTCGGGGGCAAGATTTTATGAAATTAACAACTTGTACTGCTTCATCAAGGGTATTCTTAAGAGAAACTGACGTTTTTCCCTCTTACTGCGTGTGGTGGTGGAGAACACAGTGACTGCTAGTACGGTGTGCTCCCACTGCCTTGATTTGTGCTGGGGCCGCTCTGCACCAGTGGTTCAAATACCAACACGATGAAAAAGGCCAGGAACATGTTAGTATTCTAATGAAAATGATTTGACCTTGGCAGCCTCCCGTAAGGGTCTTGGCCATCCCCGTGGTTCCATGGACCACACTTTGGGAACTGCTCTCCTAAAGTAAAGTAGCAGTTGCTAAAAGGTCACAGAGGAAGAGCTGCCATTCCTGAGGACCAAATCCATTAGGAAGCAAACAGTGATGTGGTGCACAACAGTGTGTGTGGAAGTTGACATTCTTCTGGCTTAACTGGGCTCGTTTTGATGCCTCACAAAGTTTTTCCATTTGTTTGTGGCATTTTCATACCACTTTTAAATGCTGAAATGCAAACTTTGGTAATATGGTATCTGTGTTTGCTGCTGTTTTTACTGTAATCATCTATAAGGCTTCATTCAGGAAATTCCAAAAATTACGTCTTCAACTTTGTTTTCTTTTCTTTGCAGGTAAATCTCACCTGGCCATCGTGCAGCGAGTAAACAACGAGGGCGAGGGGGACCCGTTTTATGAAGTTCTGGGCATTGTCACGTTGGAAGACGTGATCGAAGAGATCATCAAATCTGAGATTCTAGATGAAACAGATTTATACAGTGAGTAGCATCGTCTGAGTGTAATTTCCCCAAACGTTTGCTTTTCTCGTCATGTTGTTTGAGCGTCATCTGACACCTCTCCAGTTGTTTGCCTCTATTTCTAATTATGCGCCATGTGTGCACAACCTATCAGTGTATTCCAGTCCCTTCGTTGGGGGCAAAGGAAGAGGCAGGTCTTGTAATGTCAAGTGGCAGTGATTGTTTGAAAAGCCAGCTGCTTCTAACCATTGATCTGGGCATTACTTGCCCTGAACAGAAAACTCTATTCTTGGTTTTTTGTTTTTTTAAAGATTGGCACCTGAGCTAATAACTGTTGCCAATCTTCTTCTTTTTTTTTTTCTGCTTTTTCTCTCCAACTCCCCCCAGTACATAGTTGCATATTTTAGTTGTGGGTCCTTCTAGTCGTGGCATGTGGGATGCTGCCTCAGCATGGCCTGATGAGCAGTGCTGTGTCCGTGCCCAGGATCCAAACCGGTGAAACCCTGGGTCACCGAAGTGGAGCACTCGAAGTTAACACTCAGCCACAGGACTGGCCCCTCATTCTTGGTTTTTACGTTTATTTTACATGTGGAAGAAGAATTGTTCTTTACTAAAGTTTCATTTTACACAACTAGGTAAATTGTTTTCAGATAAATTTCTTTTTCTACTTAAGGTCATTAATTCAAGTACTTAAAAAGTGAGGGAGATATGTTAAATTGATGGATAGCAACTGTTTAAATTTCCTTGTTACAGAACTGATGGGCCAGGGTAGAGGCGAGGTTCGTGAGTATAGTTCTGCTGGGGCGGTGATGGCAACGTAGGGGTATAGGAGGCAGTACAGGGTGGGGTACACAATAAGAATCTGTTTTTCCCTTTCTCTGCTTCTCTGTCTTCTTTTTGGGGGGATGGGTCGAGGGGGTGGGGAGTATCCCCACCTGTTTGCCCGAGGGTAGGCCTGATCCTGGGCTGAGCGTGGAACCTGAATCTTATCTCATTACTGTACACAACTGGATCATTGGACTGTGGAACTTAAACCTTCCTCAGCCTCACTTTCACCAAAGTCAGACTCTGTCAAGAGTTTAAAAATCCCAGAGATGGCTAAAGGCCTGAGACGTTTGGGGCTCTTAATGGTGGGATAGAGAAAGAGCGTCTGGGCTCTGTTTGGCTTTTATTTTATTTATTTGTTTTTTTAAACATTAGTTCTTTTAATTTTTATAAATTAATTAATTAATTAAATTCTTTTTTTTTTTTTTGAGGAATATTAGCCCTGAGCTAACATCTGCTGCCAATCCTCTTCTTTTTGCTGAGGAAGACTGGCCCTGAGCTAATATCCCCGCCCATCTTCCTCTATTTTATATGTGGGATGCCTGCCACAGCATCCCTTGATAAACTTGATAAATGGTGTGTAGGTCCACACCCGGGATCCGAACTGGTGAACCCGGGGCCACTGACGCAGAGTGCGCGAACTTAACCACTGCTCCCCCAGGCCAGCCCTTCAGTTAACTTTTAAACCTCCATTAGACTGAATTCCTACAGAAGCATTGCCTACCATGACATACTCATATAAAATGCTGAACTCGTGGTTTCGGGTATATTCTTGGTCTAGACTGGAGATCAGGGATGATGACTGCCTTTGCCATTAGAAAGTTATTTTACAATTTTGTGTTGATTTTTACTGTCTTGATTCTCAAAAGAATTTGAGACAGAAGAAAATTATAAGTTATAATTGCCTTCTCCCCAGAACAAGCGTAGTAATCACTCTGTTTTGCCCTAGGCGTGAAATGGTGATACAGAGACCCATGGTTCTCGGGAAAGGAGCAAGGGACTGGGGTCTGCGCTTTAACCTAGTTTTTTTTTTTTTTTTTGATCGTTTCTTTGTCGTGGAAAGAGGAAGGGAGAGAGAGAATCCTCATCATATCAGTGCAGCAGTCATGGCACAGTCCAAAGTAAGTAACAACAGGCAACCTGATTAAAGGTTTTGCATTAGACACCTCCTCGATCAGGGTTTGCAAACTACGGCGCCCGAGTGCCTGCCGCTGCCGCTTTTTGTACGGCCCACAAGCTAGGAATGTTTTTCTTTTACATTTTTTAATTGTTGGGGAAAAAATCAAAGGGATAGTTATTTTGTGACAAACAAAAATGATACAAAATTCAAACTGCACGTGCAGAATAAAGCTTTGTTGGAACACTGCCAGCTACTTTGTTTACATCTCACTGCTTTTGCTAAACAGCAGAGTTGAGTAGTTGCCACACAGACCGTGTGGCCTGCAGACCCTGAAATATTTGCCGTCCAGCCTTTTGTGGAGGAACTTTGCTGACCTCTATCACTTTCTTCATATTTGCTTGACCTAGAGGATCTCGCTGTCTGGGGTAGAGCTGAAGCTACCAGATACTATTATTAAAATATTGTTCTATGAAAGCATTCTCGTTTGTTTCTTAAGAAGTTTGTGTGTGTGTTTTCGCTGGGCAGAGGCTAGGAGCCTCTTAAAGGCAGGGGCGTGCTTGCCTGTTCTTTGTAGCACGGAGATTGTGCTTTGCTGCAGTGTGGTGACATTGAGTAGCAGGAGACTGCGCGCTCCAGGCCACGTGCTCGGCTGCTATGTGGTTCTATAGGATCCACGGGGATTCCGTCCAAGGCTGCCCAATCGTGTACTTTACAAGGGTTCTAACGATCTCAGGGAGCATGTTTATAGTTGCTACTAATCAGGTTGCCTGTTAGCACTTTCTTCGGATTGTGTCATGGCTGCTGCACTCATTTGACGAGGACTCCCTCTCCCTTCCTCTTTCCATGCGGTGTCTGCACACAGACTGCCCACAATCTGGAGAGAGAGTCTAGCCTTGCCAATAGATTTTTCATTTTCATTCAAAAAGAGCCCCGATCTAATGGAATGCATTTCCTTCCTTTTTTCTTTTCTCGTTCTTCCCTCAGCTGATAACAGAACGAAAAAGAAAGTGGCCCATCGTGAAAGAAAGCAAGATTTTTCTGCCTTTAAGCAGACAGACAGCGAGATGAAGGTTAAAATATCACCACAGCTTCTCTTGGCCATGCACCGTTTCCTAGCAACAGGCAAGTGCAGCTTATCACCGTTTGAAATCTCTACCAACCCTGGAGCGTGTTTCTCACCCACCGCTGACTGGGGCGGGCGGGGGTGGAGGCTGGGAAATGGGGTGATAAGTAATGCCACTTTTGTGTTTTGTTTTTTGTTTTTTTTTTGTTTTGTTTGTTTTGTTTTGTTTTTTTCTTTTTAAATTCTCTCCTCTCCTGTGTTCAGTGTCGGCATGAACCCTCTGAGACATTTACCAGGGGTGGACCAGTAACTTAAAATTGGTCTGAAAGGTAAGGATGAATGTTAGTGCCACACTGCATGTGAACGGTAGGCCAGGTCATCTGCTTCCAGCTCAGGCCAGGGGCGAGCCAGCTGGTGGAGTAGGCTGACAGTGTGAACCAGACGCCACCTCATTGCGTGGTAGACAGCTGAGTAATTCTCTCTTCAGCTTGCCTTGGACGAACAATTGGACATCAGTGGTAACACAGGTGCTATGATTTGCAAAGAAGACAAATACATTTTCAAAATTAAATCTATCTTTTGTGGTTTTAACAAAATCAGAAATTCTAAGAACTTTGACATGGATTTCTTGATGGCCTCTTCAAATCAGATTGTTAACTCGGGCCCATTCGAGGAGGCAAGTGTTCACATTATTAAAACCACCAACCCGGCCGGCACTGACTGCTCCAGAGAGCTCAAGGTTGAATGGACTTAGGAGACGGACCGCTCCTTCTCACATCCCCACGTGGCTCTCTAGGTGAAGGGTGAGCTCTGCTGGCCGGGGGACGTGTGAGAAAATCCGAAAGTACCCAGTGGCCTGTAGAAGACGTCTGTGTCCAAGAAGGGCAGCCAGTGCCTTTCAGCTGCATGCAGTGTACTCAATATTTTGAAAAGAAGGCTAACAGCAGCCCTGTGATGGAATGTTATGCATTCTTTAAGATCATGTTTTCAGATATATGGAAATGCTCACAATATAATATTTCTGACATGGGAAAAGACTCATAATTTAATATAAAGTGAGAAAAAACAGGGTATATAACTGTGTGTACAGTAAGATTATAGTTGTTTTTGTGTGTACACACATGTATACACAGGCACACTTGCCCAGGCAAGGTACTGGAAAGAAATGCTCACCAGTTACTCAGAATGGTTATGAGTGGTTGGTTTATAGGTAATTTTAATTTTCCTCTTTATCTTTTTCTGTATTTTCCAAAATTTCTGCAATGTATTATCTTATTTTGTTATAACAAAAAAGTCACAGAAGCTAATACAGAATTTATAATTTTCATATATAACATAATTTAAAAAATTTTAAATCTATAAATAATATCTTTAACTTATTATTCTTTTTCTAATTCTGATAATAGTCTTCATCATTTAAGAACCACAATTTAAAACGCAATGTTATCCTAATCTGCCTCTGAGATGCCATGAAGTCCAGTGTCTGTATAGCACCCTTCAATCAGTAATTTTGGGTTTTGTTATTTTAAATAAAATCGATATCTTTATAAATACAGATCAACATTACTTTTTTTTTGATTGGCAAGTTGGAGTGCATGTTGATGTGTGCACGTGCCTTGTTTTTATTCCGAATCTCTGCCATCCTTGTTCCCAGACTTTCGCAGGTAGTTGAGTGGGAGAATGAGGTGTGGGGCACCGCGTCTGTGCACCTGGTACTAACGCACACCTAGATGCTTCCTGACCTTCGCTTCTTCCTCTGGCTGTTGTGGGACAGCCAGACTATTGTGGCCTGCTGAAGGGCGTCCTGGCAGTCAAGGAGCCTGCTTCTGGTTGATTTTCCTTTGTTATCAGTCAGAAAATTAGAGTATTTTTATGAGAACTGAAACAAACGACAGGTGGAAAAGGAAAAATTTAAAGGAAACAAATATGAGAATTCAGCATTTTCTAATTTTTCCCAGGTAATCCGCCCCCAGTGGATCACCAAACGGAAGTCTCGTTATCCACATTGTATCACTTTGACTCCAAGTATTCTTGTTATCTAAACACCTTAATCACTAGTGTAATTTTTTCCATCCATTTGAAGTGTAATATCAAGTTGTGTTTATATCTATAGAAGTAGAAGCATTTAGCCCATCCCAGATGTCAGAGAAGATCCTTCTAAGGCTGCTAAAGCACCCCAATGTCATCCAGGAACTGAAGTATGATGAGAAGAACAAGAAAGCCCCAGAATACTACCTCTACCAGCGAAACAAACCTGTAGACTACTTCGTTCTCATTTTGCAGGTCAGAAGAATTATTCAATAGTTGTTTGATCTCATTGATCCCCATCCTTCCGGTTCTGAGGAGAGCTGGTGTAGGCGAATGTGTGTCGAGGTTTGCAGACTTAACTTCCGGGGTAGCTTTATACGCGGGAGAATTTCATCTCCCTGTTTTCATATCTGTAAAATAATTCCAGTATAAAGCAATGTCATTAGTTACTTTAATTTCCGCTACCGAAGGGCACTTTAGTGATTGCTGAGGCACTGAGTCAAATGAAGAATGGTGAATTCCATTGTTATATTTTTCCTCAAAGAGTTTGGGGAATGACCTGTAGATGTCCATATCTTGGCTGGGCATTTGAAATTTGAGTGTGTTGACTCCCTTGGGTCTTCTTTTCATTGCCTTTTCTTTTTGTACCCCTCATTAGGACTTGGTCTTATACAGCTTCCTAGAGATATCTTACTATCTCTTCCCTTCACACCATCAAAATAATCCATTTATTGTTTTCTTTTTGTATTCCTTTACTAACCAGACTCTATTTTGCAGAGGAACTGATGTGATAACCACAGCCTCTCCTGGCAATGGGAATTGAATTCCTTCTCAGTATAACATCATCCAATGTATAAGGTTGGAAGGTCAATCCATTCCGGACCCCTTTGAGGGGCCTTGGTGCTTGAGTTGACGGGAGGCCCGTGTTGTGTCAGAGTTCCACTTAGAAGAGCACTGTCCTTGGCTTGGAGATCAAGATGAACATTCCAATGAATAAAGTGCTAGTTTTATTGACTTCTTGTACCTCTTTATTGAAGAACTACTTTGATAGGAAATCTGAGTTCATTTCAATACAAGAATACTAGCCCCTTAAGCGTTCTCATCTTTCTTGGTTGCTTCCTAGATATGAATTGGAGGTATCATTATAAGAAAGAGTATAATTAGTACTTCGTAGGCCCTATAATTTACATGAGTCCAGTAAGGTTCCAATTATCTAAATGAATTAAGAAATTTCTTTTTATTTGAAAGTAATTCTTAATGGATGTCTAGATGTCAGAAACTCTGGAAAATGTTGTGTTCAGGCCCCGCGTTTGGACAGTATTGTGGCGTCTGGAAGCAGAAGTGAGGAGCTGTGGAAAAATCCATGGATTAACCTGTTACATGCTGCTTTCATACAGTTGTTCCTGGAAACTTCTGTTGGCAGGTTCCTAATTCAGTATCCTGATTCTTCTAATCTTAGCCTCATTCAACCCCGAATTGTGTTTTTCTCTTTCTGTGGAGATAGACAAGCTTGAATCTTGGAAGGGTTTTATTTACTGCCCTGTACATTCCTATAGGGAATGGGTTTTATTTACTGCCCTGTACATTCCTATAGGGAGTGGGTTTTATTTACTGCCCTGTACATTCCTGTAGGGAATGGGTTTTATTTACTGCCCTGTACATTCCTGTAGGGAATGGGTTTTATTTACTGCCCTGAGAGCATAAAACATTCATGTTCCTCATAAAAGCTAGATGTGAATATTCCTTAACCCTAGAGAAACTTTGAGTTACATTAACGATGGTTATTTAAAAGAACTTTGAGGATTGACATCATGAATTTCAGTAGTAATATTAGAAACTATGTGGCTTTTGTCACTTTTTTATGTAGCATTTATAAAGTTGTGATTCAGTAATCCTCTATTGGTATATAAGAAAGCTATTTCTGGGTCTGGCCCCGTGGCCTAGTGGTTAAGTTCAGCATGATCCACTTCGGTGGCCTGGGTTCAGTTCCTGGGCACGGACCTCCACGGTTTGTTGGCAGCCAGGCTGTGGCGGTGACCCACATACAAAATAGAGGAAGATTGGCAACAGATGTTAGCTCAGGGTGAATCTTCCTTAGCAAAAACAAACCAAAAAAAAGAGAGCCATTTCTGGCTGGTGTACCTAAAAATAGATATTATGAAAGAGGCACTTGATAATCCCTATCCATTTATAAGTCTTTAAAATAGAGATTTTCGATAAGGCATTTGTGTATGTGTACTTGTATTTGAATACCTATGTCATGTTAATATTTATATAAATGTGACAAGTTTTCTGAGTTGTTGAACTGATGATGTCATGGGGGTTTTATAAATAGTGTACATGCTGGATTAAAAGGACTTTATGGAGGTGTTTAAACTAGAGAGTTTGGTGCAAATCATGTTGTTGCAGGCCAGCCAGTTACCTGAGATACCCAGAGTATAAAGAATGAAGTACCATAAAACCTTGTCAACCCAGTGTAGCTATCATTACTTACAAAGCATATTCCACTCTAAAATGTCGCTAATCCAATATTGGAAATTCACGCCAGGTTATTGAGCTTGTTCCACTGCAGTTCCAGAGCATTAAATCAGAAGAAAGCAGCAAGATCTGCCTTCCGTTCCTGGCCCCAGTGCCCAGGGGCCGCCCTCCTCTGCAGACGCCAGGGAAAGCTCTTTTGCTAAGTTGTTGGTGTTTGCAGTATAGTTAGAAATAGAAATACATCATTTTGAGTTTAAACCAGAGATGAATAAAGTTTAATTTATTCAAAACCATCCTGTAAGTAAGATTAATTAAAGGAGTGCTCTTTAAGTTACTAGGCACGCACCTCCCAGTACATATGTATCAAAAGACTACAACTTAAGGTGGTATCTGAAAAAGTAGATTTTTAAACTAAAATGTGCTGAGGGATCAATATGCTCAGTGATACAAGCACAATAAATAGTGAAAGAAATCTTCATTGGCTCTACATGCCTTAAATAACTCAATAAAATACATAAAAGTAGAAATAGTTAGGAATGTAATTTTGGTGGAAATTTTCCCCACTATCGTAAAAGAACAAGCATACCAAAAAACAAAAAGGTTAGAGTTTTAAATTGCATAATGAACAAAATTAACAGAAACTTGGAGAAAATGAAATATAAAGCCAGGGAAATACACTTTGTAAAATGTTTTATGTGACTCTTTCATAAAAATTGATCCTTTATTATGTCACATGTAAATTCTGGTAAATTTAGAAAGATGGAAATTTCATAAAACCACTTGCATAGACCGTAATGAAATAAAGTTAGACATAAAAATGCATAATTGAGAACTCCTAAACCATTTAAAAATTGTGATCACTTCTCTTACAAAGGTTTGTATGTAAGGTGAAGCACAGAGTGTACAACACGCTCTCATTTGTATAAAGGAAAAAGCTGTTTTTTCTCACACACATGCACGTGTATATGAAGGATCTCTGCAAAGTTATTCAAGGAACTGGGGACAGTGGCTGCCTCTAAGGAGGACACTTGGAGGACTGCAGAGAGGGTGGAAGGGAGACTTATTTCTCCCTCTGAATTTGAATTTCTTACTATATGCATGTACTACCTATTTAAATGAATAATCGTTAAAAATATTATTAGTGGCAAACTAAAAACCCTAAATAGCAACTAAATTAGGAAGAAAATGTATAGACTATCATAGAAGACTATTGTTAAATATTGTAAGCATTGTATATGGAGTATGTCAAAGTTTTAAGAAATTGCATTCATCTACGTACTTAAACAAGAAAAAAATCTATAATTATCTAGAAAAAGAGCAAAGCAGCCAACTATAAAGAAGAACAAATTACATAATAAAGATTGTCATGAAATTTTTATTTAGTTATTTATTTTTGGTGAGGAAGATTGGCCCTGAGCTAACATCTGTGCCGCCGCCTTCTATTTTGTATGTGGGATACAGCCACAGCATGGCTTGGTGAGTGGTGTGTAGGTCTGTGCCCAGGATCCAAACCAGCGAACCCTGGGCCACTGAAGCGGAGCATGTAAACTCAACCATTACACCACTGGGCCAGCCCCATATGAAAATAAATTTTAAAATAAAAAAGACTTACAACCCATAAATAAAATCAATATTTGGTTCTTTTAAAAGATTAGCTAAATCAGTATTCAATTGGCGTAATTAATGTGGTAAAAGAGAAAAAAAACGAGAAGTGCTCCCCTCCCTTTACAAAAGCACCTAGAATCAAAGGAATTACTTGAAAAAAATTGGAACTTTAAAGAACTCAATTTCTATATTACACAAATAGAACAGGATGGTATGGTAGTCAAATGCATTCTTTAAGACTAATAGGCTTAATCTAAAGTCTGATAATATTTTGGGTCAGTCTCCCTTGTCAACATCGATGGAAAATTCCTGAATAAAAAGGTAGCAGATAGACAATAACACCCTCAAAGACTTAGTCACTGAGTCTGAGACTGAATTAGGTTTATTTTAGGAATGCAGGGTTGGTTTAATATAAGGACAACAAAACCAAAATATGCCACTTTAATTACGAAAGCGGTAAAGAAAAATATCCTTATGCTCATATCGATGGATATCAGAAAGGCAACTGACAAAATTAAGCATCCATTCTTGATTTTAGAAAACAAACAATATCTTTGTAAAAACCCACAATGAAGAGTGAATCAAAAGGAGAAAGTGGTGTAAAACCGATCAGATCCTGAAGCTGGCAGCCTCCTTTTGGGAATACGTACATACGATCCTTCCTATTTGTGCATCTAAAGAAATCATCGTGTTATAAAGCTATTTATGCAAATATATTTATAGCAAATCTGTTGATTATGAAATAGTAAAAACAGTCCATATGTCTAAGCTAATCAAATTGAGATGATCCTATGAGGAATTATTATATACTATAAAAGAACTGGAAAACATATCCAAAAACATGTCAAGTAAAAAAGATAGTGTGTGCACAGTAATTATGACTATTATAAACCATTTTGCTAATAAAAATAGAGTAATAGATCACTGTGTAGTTTATACAGTTGGTGTTTACTAGTGGAGGATTTGTTGCTCCTTTGGGGAGTAAAATGTCTAAATAAGCAAATAAAAAATAGTAGGATTGCTCTTCCACAGCACATAAGCAGATTACGATTTTAGTAAATATAAAAAACAATAAGAAAAAAAAGGAATGGCTTTTTTTTTTCTTTGCCAATTATAATCAATAGAAAGGAACACATTTCTTTTCTGGTGTTAATTTTTCTTGTGGATTTCAT